CTTTCATTGTCTTCCTTTTCGGTTTGAACCTGGTTCCTCGCACGTTCACATGCCTTACCCGGGTCATGGTGGCCCGTCTGCTTCTGTTAGGTGTTCGGGTGTTGGCTTACCTTAACCAATGGCTGGTTTAGGCTCCCAGTCGGTTCGTATGTCTGCTCGCCAGGGATTTGTGCTTTCCCAGCTAGGCAGGGTCGGGTTCCTGGTGAACTGGCAGAAGTCCCATCTGGTTCCCTCCCAGGTTCGAACCTAGCTGGGTCTTGTGTGGGACTCTCAGACTGCTTTCTTGTCTCTTCTTCCGGAGTCTCTCCTTCGGCTGTGGTCCCGCATGCACTTGTTTCTGGAGGGCTCCCGGGTCATCCGGCGGTTGCTCGAGGGTCTGTGCAAGACTACAATAGCGTGATGCATCAAAGGAGCAAATCTACAAGGGCCGTGCCAAGGGTTCGAACCTACGTCCGAAAGGATCTCAGACGCTTAGTCAATTAAGGCAGTGTCTGGGATCCTCTCAGACGTAGGTGCGAACCCTCGTCATGGCACTTGTGGATTTGTTCGTCTGTGCGAGATCCTGAACTTTGGGATGATGGTCAAACCAGGTTAGGTTTGACTTCGTCGGCTGTTCTGGGTTCCTTTGGGGACGTCCCTTCCACCTCTCTCGCGATCGCTGGGTTTGACCCCCCCTGGGGCCTTTCATCAGCTGCTGCGTCGCCGGCTTCATCTTCGGGTTTTTCGGGATTCAGTGCCTTGGTGCCTACCCGAGTCCTCACTCGATGTGTTCATGGACATGTCGTCTCTCGGCTGGGGTTTTGTAACCAGTGCTCACCCAGCCGGCCAGGGGCAGTGGGGTCCGTCCTTCCGTCGGGCCCACAGCACAGTGCGGAAGTTCGCGGAGGTGTGGTTTGCGCTTCGGAGGGTTCGGGTCGCCTGCAGATTGACGATCTGGCTCAATTCGGACTGCTCCCTGGTGGTTAATTGCCTGAACCGTGGGGGTTCGATGCGGTCCTTGACTGTTTGGAGCTGGTCGCTTTGGGTGACTCGTCCTCTGAGTTCTCGGGGTTTGGCTCTCCTGGCTGTTCACGTTCGTGGAGCGTCCTACGTCCTTTTGGACGGCCTGTCCTGGTTTGTTTTCCCTGTCCATGGAGTGGATGGTCAATGCTGACTCATTCCGTTGGCTCTGCGGGACGTTCGGGCACCCGGAGGTGGACATCTTCGCGTCAGCGTGGTCGAAGCGTCTTTCGGTATATGTAGCGCCCTTTCCCGACCGCGAGACCGTTGGGATCGATGCTTTCCGGCAGGACTGGTTGAGGGGGGGGGTTCCTGTACCTCTTTCCCCTGGTTCAGCTGTTGCTCCAGGTCCTGGCTCGCTTGGAGACTCACTACAGGCGAGCAGTCCTCTTGGCCTTATGGTGGCTGGCCCAGCTGTGGTTTCATGCGCTGCTTGCCCGGTGTTGAAACCTGAAGGTTTTTCCGTGGCACCGCCTCTTTCAACAGTCGGCCTGGGTCGTTATGAGAGTGGTTTGCTCTTCTCCTCAATTCTTCACGTTTTATAATTTTAACTTGGGTTTACCACCATCTGTATGGTGATCAGGTGGCTTCATTGATGGTGTCCCACCTGCGGGCTTCGTTTCAGTGGCAGTGTGAAGTTTCCTGGCGGTCGTTCCATTTCTTTTTGACTCCTCATTGTTGTACTTTGCTTTTGGTTTTGGTGTTGTGCTTTCTCTCGTGATTGTTCCAGGACCGTCATCTTATGCCGAATACTGTCGCCTCGTTATAGTGGGGCGCTGGCGGAGCTGCTGCTGCAGCTTGCTTTCAGTATAGATGTCACTTCTGGGCCGTTTCCCAAGCTGCCTCATGCATTGTTTCACCTCCGGCCTGCTCATGGTAGTAGTAGCTCATGGTAGTATTGTAACACTGTAAAAGTGTTTGGTTTAGTTTATTTAAAATATATATAGTACATGAGTCAGAGACAAGGATTTGAGAAGGCGCCAGTTTGGTCGGCCTGAGACTCACACCTCTAAGCGTTAATGACCTCAAGTGACCTGAGGTCAGATCATGCGAATTTCACCTTGCTTCTGCTAATCTTATAATTGGAGCTTGGTAGCCTTCAAACATGCCGACGTTTAAGGAGTGGCTTGGTAGAGTGCCTGAGGCTATCTTCTTGTGGACGGAGTTAGTTACTAGGTTCCCCAATATATACTCGGAGAGCAGAGCATATGGACAGCATTAACAGATAGACCAGGCAGTAGAGCAGAGGAGGACAACAGCCGAGACAGGCTGTCGGTCGGACGGGGGTGACGCTGCCTGACAGCTGCAGACTCCCCCTCCCCCTCTATCCAGCTATAGGCAGACACTTGGTGAGTTGAACATTAAGGTGACTTGGTCGTGTGTACAAGTGTTGTGTGAAGATCAGGGGCAGTCAAATTGTAGGGTTCTCAAATTCTTGGATGATGGCTCACTTTGAATATTAATCTTTAACATTTTAATTGAATGGCTTAATTTATGATACTTATCATGTGAAATATAATTGAATTTATTATTTAAATGGTCTTTAACTTTGTTCCCTAGAGTTTTGAGTTCAGGTGAGAAAGCCTCTGCGGTTACTGGGTTCTTGATTTTAATGAGTACATGTTTGGAGTTGATACATGGTAATAACATCTTTTGAGAATATTGTGATACAGACAAGTTCCATTCCTTGTCTTGTATGTAATGGTCTAGAATGGATGGTGGCAGCATTTCTACTTCTACTATCTACTCTTCTACTTCTACCTATCTACTCCTCTCCCTCCACCCCTCTCCGAACTCTCCCTTTCAACTAATGACCCTCCGCGCTCCTCCCACCTCTCTACCTCTCTCACCCCACACCCTCACTAATTACTTCCTTATTCATTTGTTTCCTTTCGTTTCTCTTAGACATTTGTGGCAGTGAACTGTGTTCTAGAGTTCTCTCTAGAGTTTCGGGTAGCTGATCAAGTTACGGCACCTTGTAGTCTTAGCACCTAGGTAGTCAAATACCTAGGTTACAAGGTGTTGAACGAGAGAGGTTGCCTTAGGAACTCTGGAGGGGCTCTAGAATAGTTAGCTAACTGGGGACGGGATAACGGACTAGAGAGAGCTGTTTCCCCCGGCCTCGTTAGTTAACTGGGGGTTGGAATAATGGACAAGATAGAGCTATTTCCCCCACCCCCCGTTACAGTATGGTACAGGGTAGCTCTCCTATCCTTCTCCTCAGTTAATGGCCCCTTCGATTCAAGATTGTTTTTCCATGGTTGTTTATGTTGGCATTGGCTTCTGAGGGTCGGTGAGCTTCATGCTCTCCTCTGGTGCAGGGGTTTTTGCTCCTTTGGTCTTGGTAGTCGGTTTGTTCGGTTGCAGCCTTCTGCTCCTTTTCTGGTGAAGAACGAGACAGCTGCTTTCTGGAGGGGTCCTTGGGTTATTGATGCTTGGTTGGTCAAGCCAGGGGTGCATCATGTCTTGTGTTGGATTGTGGCTCTTCGCTGTTACCTGCGCGCTTCAGTTTCTGTGACCAGGGATGTGCTCTTGGTTGATCCGGTTTCCTTGTTCCCTGTTCCAGGGCTTGGGTCTCCCAGGTTGTCCACAGGGTTATTAAGTCTAGCCAGCCTGCAGTCTATCCTTGTGCCCATGTCATTAGGAAGTTTGCTGCAATTGGCTGCCGTGTTTGGCAACATATTGGGCTGATATTTGGGCGGTGGGATTTTGGAGGTCGAACAGGTTCCTGGCCTCCCAATATTTGGTTACGGTTCCTGGGCCTGGGCATTCTTGTGTTGCTTTTGGTCGCGGTTGCAGCCTATTGTCTTGACTTTAAGTTGAGGAGTGTATGTCGGCCGGCTCCTGGGTAAGTCCCTCTTTTCCTTATCTTTGGTTATGTAGCTCCAGGGAGCTGAAGGGGCTCCCCACAGAAAATCAGCACTGAATGTAATGAAGCGCCATTTTCTGGGTGAGCACCAGAGGCTCCCTGGTACCCTCCCTCCCTCAGGTTGATTATTTTTGCATTGTTTTGTTGCTTAGCCTCTGAACTGAAGTTGTTGAGCAGCCGGTGTGGAGGGTCTGGGGCGTCACACTCCACTGCCGGTGCGGCATGGAGTGATATTTGCTTGTTTGCTTGTTTGCTTGGGAATTATGGGAGTTCTACCTCTGTTTGGTTTTTGGTTGCAATTTTCTTACCATGTGGGGTCTATTTTGTTATGCCTACCTTTCTGGGGGCCCTAACCCCGGTTGATGGCAGGTAAGGTAAAGCCCCAACCACAGGGGGTTTTCCAAGGTCATTGCTCCCTGTGCCTCTCTGAGGGGGGCCAGGTTCTGGCTCGTGGTCCCTGGTAGGCTGAACTCCATTGACTAAAGCCCTGGTCTAATGTATTGCATATTAGCCTGATAGCTCTAGGGAGCCTCCGGGGCTCACCCAGGAAATGGCGTTTCATTACATTCAATGCTAGTTCTTTGCTCCTCGCGGAGAGCTCCTCACTGAGAACTCGGATATCGCTTTTGAGGGGATCCAGGTCACAACTAACCCAACTCATGTCCTCATTCATGTGTGCCCTAAACCTGCCCATATCTGAGGCGACCGAGTTCCTAACTGGTAAAAACCATTGTCTCATAAAAACCGTCGCCTCACTAACTTGATCCACAATGTTTCACATGTTGGCATCACCCAGGTTCAAAGACTTGATATCCACTTGGGAAAGACTAGGTATTTCAGTGCTGCAATGAACATTGCAGCATATGTTCATTGCATTGTGGCACCAGTCTCTTCCTCTAAATTCCAGGTAAACAGAGTGGAACAGCTGCCATTAAAATGGTCCAAAATAATTGGGATTTGGCATGATATACCTATGAGACGAGCATTTATTATTATGGGCAACCAAGATTATATTGCTTTTAGAATAAATCAATTAATTATATACCATCATAGAATAGTATTTCAGTGATTTTACCTATATAAATTGTGTCTGTGAATTCTAAATAACTTGGTTTTCTTATCCTCTTAATAGGAGTCTTACATGGGAAATATGGCTCAAAATCTACCAGGTCCCCCAGAGAGGGAAGTGCTAGAGAAGACACAGGGGAAGATGCCATTGATGGTATGTAGCAATTTTCTTTGTATTTTTTTGGTATTTACTTTGTATTATTCCTTGAGAAAATATCATAACCATTCTTATTCTGAGTGGATTCTTTCTTTGCCCCTTCTGTGTATTTTACATTTTGACATTGGTTTCTGAGCCCTGTTGGCTCCCTGAATCAATTATGCACTGTTCAGTGTCACACTACTAAGTGCATAGCTCTATTTTCCTACAGGGGACCAAGGGCCAGAACCTGGTCCCCTCAGTGAGGCGTAGGGAGTGATGGCCTGTGTAATCTTTAAATGTAAAATTATTCATAATTGCCACCACCAGGGAAGGCTCCCAGAAAGATAGGCGAACCAAAACAAACCACTGCATTGTTAAAAACGAGACCATAACCGTAAAATTGCCAAAAGAACTCCCAAGAATGAAAAAAAAATTAAAATGTTTATGCTAGTTCGCCCCACCTGTTCCCCTCGTTTGGGGGAAAGTTAGAAGGCAAAGCGGGTTAGCTTTGCCTTCTGGCCCACCCACCATCAGTTCTATTCTGATGTGTGCCCTGGTTACCTCATCACTCTGGCTCCAGTCTCCAGTTTTTCGAGTGGTGTTTTGTCTTTTAGGCTGGTAAACTCCTGTCTCACGCACAACACGAGTGTTGTGCGCTTACTAGGGCTTAGTAAGGCACTTACTCGTAAAGTAAGCGGTGGTTCGTGGCTGTCTATCTTCCTTAGGGATGGGAGTGTTTTTGGCTGGTGGAGCGCACTTGGATTTACACAACCAGCTATTCAATTAACATATAGGCGCGCTGACATTTCTCCCTGGTTGCTCATTTTTTGGGATTTGGTCTTGAGGGCTTGGGGCTCTTCAGTCCATTGCTGTTTGGGGCTGGTTGCTTCTGATAGCTTGTCTGCCGAGTTCTCTGGGTTTGCATATCCGTGCCATACATGTTTAGGGAGTGTTGTGAATGTACCAGATATACCTGCTCATTGTTGTAGTCTCTCTCAAGTTATCTTGCTTCAAGTGTGCAATGGGGAAGAGATGGTGTTATCAAATTAAAAAATAATCAATGAATGTAATGAAATTTCCTTTTCTGATGGGACACAGTTGCTTTTGTGCTATGACACTGGTGCTGCCAAACTGTAAGGCGTGAAAAACCCACCCAAGACTACCAGAACTGAATCCTGAAAAAACTGAACATGTAAGTGACAACTCAAGATGCCTTGCAAACAAAATGGGACATGAATGTAATCCTGCCATTAGCAAGAACCACTGTACCAGGAGAACATGGTATAGTGCTTACAACCAGCCATGATCTAGAAGGTAAACTATGCTCAAAAAAGTCCTGATAGGGGAACAGAGTCCTCCCCCCAGCATCTGGGTCTATCATGGCAGGGAGAGGGAGGTCATCCTGGCATCCCTGCACAGGTCAAACAAAGCCAAAACTTGAGCAAGCAGCAACCTGGGACTTCCAAAGTTGACTAGAAAGCTGAAGAGGAATTTTTTGGGTCCAAACCAGATCCCCAGCATACAAAGATGTTGGAGAAGCACTGAAGTCAGTCTGGTGAATATTCTTGGAGTTAGGGTCAAACCAAACTAAGTCACACACAAGGTCAACACTGCATCCTGCAGGAGTGGAGTAAATGGCTGGGATAAAGTGACTGAAAACAAGGAGTCAGTTGCCAAAGAGCCGAGACTGACACGCCTGTCCTGAGAAGATTTTCTATACATCACAAAACTTTAGGTGTTTACCAACCAGATGCAGGCTTTATGGTCCACTACAGTCAAAGCCAAAGGCAATTTAAGCACTTGGATGTGTAGCTGCCAAAGCAATTCATATTGCAGGTAATAGAAAGCACAAAAAATGGACTACATTTAATTCATAAATAATAATTCATATTGATGGGGAACAGACAGCCAGAGTGTATTTATACATGTTAGGCTTATATCAAGTTCCCCCCCCCCCCCACTCCTTCCCCAAGGTCTAATTACTGACCCCCAGGATGTAGCCCCATGAGAAGTTGACTAACTCCTAGGTTCGTACTTACTGCTAGGTGAATATGGTTATTAGGTGATAGGAGACATGCCCAATCATTTCAGTCCTGCCTGGGATTGGAACCCAGAATTCTGAATTGTGAATCGAGACTGAAACTGACTGTACTACCGGGATCCTTAATTTGACTACAATGTGTCTGCACTTGAATGAACTATATGGGGCAAAGCCATACAAAGCGTTACAGTGTGGAATTCGTTCCATCTGTCCAGCCCCAACAACCCTATTAAAAAAAAATTAATACATATGCCAGGACACATTTGCATTAGGAAAAATTGCACCTGACTCAGGAAGGGAGTCCTTGCTAGTGCTGGATGCTGGTCCTGTAGGCCTACTGTGAAACCGTACCAAAAACTTTTGAATCTTTGTTTGTTTCTTCGTTGTGTGCTGCTTCATTATAATATCTTTCATGCCCTTTAGGTGTAGATAATAATCTGCCAGCTCTTCATCATCAGTCACTTCTCTGACACCATCCCCCACGACTGACACCACCAGACTTCTCTGACTCCATCCCCCACCACTGACACCACCAGACTTCTCCGACACCATCCCCCACCACTGACACCACCAGACTTCTCTGACACCATCCCCCACCACTGACACCACCAGACTTCTCTGACACCATCCCCCACCACTGACACCACCAGACTTCTCTGACACCATCCCCCACCACTGACACCACCAGACTTCTCTGACACCATCCCCCACCACTGACACCACCAGACTTCTCTGACACCATCCCCACCACTGACACCACCAGACTTCTCTGACACCATCCCCCACCACTGACACCACCAGACTTCTCTGACACCATCCCCCACCACTGACACCACCAGACTTCTCTGACACCATCCCCCACCACTGACACCACCAGACTTCTCTGACACCATCCCCCACCACTGACACCACCAGACTTCTCTGACACCATCCCCCACCACTGACACCACCAGACTTCTCTGACACCATCCCCCACCACTGACACCACCAGACTTCTCTGACACCATTCCCCACCACTGACACCACCAGACTTCTCTGACACCATCCCCCACCACTGACACCACCAGACTTCTCTGACACCATCCCCCACCACTGACACCACCAGACTTCTCTGACACCATTCCCCACCACTGACACCACCAGACTTCTCTGACACCATCCCCCACCACTGACACCACCAGACTTCTCTGATACCATCCCCCATCACTGACACCACCAGACTTCTCTGACACCATCCCCCACCACTGACACCACCAGACTTCTCTGATACCATCCCCCATCACTGACACCACCAGACTTCTCTGACACCATCCCCCACCACTGACACCACCAGACTTCTCTGACACCATCCCCCACCACTGACACCACCAGACTTCTCTGACACCATCCCCCACCACTGACACCACCAGACTTCTCTGACACCATCCCCCACCACTGACACCACCAGACTTCTCTGACACCATCCCCCACCACTGACACCACCAGACTTCTCTGACACCATCCCCCACCACTGACACCACCAGACTTCTCTGACACCATCCCCCACCACTGACACCACCAGACTTCTCTGACACCATCCCCCACCACTGACACCACCAGACTTCTCTGACACCATCACCCACCACTGACACCACCAGACTTCTCTGACACCATCCCCCACCACTGACACCACCAGACTTCTCTCACACCATCCCCCACCACTGACACCACCAGACTTCTCTCACACCATCCCCCACCACTGACACCACCAGACTTCTCTGACACCTTCCCCCACCACTGACACCACCAGACTTCTCTGACACCATCCCCCACCACTGACACCATCAACTGCCACCAGACTTCTCTGACACCATTCCCCACCACTGACACCATCAACTGCCACCAGACTTCTCTGACACCCCCCTTAACCAAAGACACCAACCTCTATCATCAGACTTTTCTGACACCCCCGCCCCCACGACTGACACCACCATTTATTATGAATTCTTCATTTTGACTATGGAATACGATAGAACGGTGTTATAAACAACTGAAATGGTAACGTTTTTCTCAGCTAATTTATTGAAAAAAGCAGAGAGTGAGTGAAACATCCAGGTGGCAGCAGCCGGCGCCAGCCATGTGTTGCCAATTACTGTAGCTGAGATCTCACCACCACTGACACCACCTGCTTCCCCTGACAACAGCTTCCACCACTGACACCACTTGCCTCCCCTGACAACAGCTTCCACCACTGACACCACTTGCCTCCCCTGACAACAGCTTCCACCACTGACTCCACTTGCCTCCCCTGACAACAGCTTCCACCACTGACACCACTTGCCTCCCCTGACAACAGCTTCCACCACTGACTCCACTTGCCTCCCCTGACAACAGCTTCCACCACTGACACCACCAGTTTTTCTGACAACACTAACTCCACCTGCCTCCAATGAGAATAACCTCCAATACCTGCCTCCTGACACTAAACCCCAACTACTGACACCACCTGCCTCCCCTGACACCAAGCCTCACCAATAACACCACCTGCCTCCCCCTGACACCAACCCTCACCAATAACACCACCTGCCTCCCCTGACACCAACCCTCACCAATAACACCACCTGCCTCCCCTGACACCATTTTATCATCCTTCAACCATTTCACACTGGAAACAGTGGGTAAGCAAAATAAAACACTGTATAACTGTTTATACTTTGGTGAATCATAGTTGATGACAGCCACCTCTGATGCTCGGTCTCGGTAACCGCTTGAGCAAACAATCCTCACTTAATCGAACATCTGTATGTTCCACTGAACATTTAATACCGAATTCAATTTGTTCGGATCATCCAGGAATTCGATAGAGTGGGGTTCGTTAGAGTGAGGATACACTGTACCTGTGTATGACCAAGTCTGTCACTTGTCTGAGGTAAACAATGAGTTATCTGCCAGCCAGGTGAGAGCTGGGACCTCATACTGAAGGTACTGAGCCAGT